CACGTGTGACAGGATCTATGATTTTTGGCATCAGGCCTCTTGTGTTCCCAATTTTTCCACAGTTGTCATGATCTCTGGCAAGTTTTTCAGTATCAGGAGCCCTAAATGGTTAAATGTCCAGAAACCATAATCTGGATGATCATGGCTGATTTTCTTCTCTCTGATTTCATCAGCTGCACCGTTGCCACTTCTGCTGACTTCTAAAAGTGATGATATAGATTCCAGCGCGCCTGATATCCCCGTTACACGAAGAGAATTCTGTTTCTTGCTAGTGAGTTTCGATAAAATTTCTGCTGCTGATTTTCTGATCTCTTCTTCTTCTGGGTCTTTCCAGTTCAACATTTCGACTAATCTTTCTATGACTGGCAAATTGATCCCAATCTTCTTCATTGTGTCTCCGGAATACTGCTCACTTTTCGCAAATTGACAGAGAATCCTGGCACCAATCAGCTGCTCATCTGGTGAACTTGAACCCAAAAGTTCCATGGAGAAATTCACCATGTCCATTTTCAATCCATCAAAGATGCTCCCATTAACACACCTTGAGTAAGCGTCATAGAAGAATCTTTTAACGGAAATCATGCCAGATGGTCCCAACTCACACTCTTTGTTAACTTCTTCCAATAGTTTACAGACAATTACCTTCCATTCCCAAAAAGTTTTCTCCATTAAAAACAAGAGTGCTTCAGCCAAGGCCAGGGAGTAAAATATGTTGAGAGCAGATTGCCGGTTCCTCTTATCAGTATCTCCCTTCTGTATGTCACCATAGTTATGCTTTATGAGTTTCATTGATGACAGAACGACGCAGGCTATCGCAGACGAAAGCTGGAGCCAGTAGAGAAGTTTGCTGACATTTCTGGAGAGAAAAACCCATGGAGCATATGGCAAAAGAGGAACATCAGAAGTTATCCATGTCCTGGTTGGTGTTCTTCTTTGATCCCATCTTCCTGGTATGCCTTCACTGATTTCGTTGACTTCTCTGGTGCTTTGTCTTCGTTTCTGAGCCGGAGAAATCAACTGGAAAATACCCTTGACAGATCTCAAAGCTCGGAAGCTATTAATGCCAGCATCTGCTATTGACCAAGTGGCTTGGTGCTGCCATTCAAGCTCATGACTCCTGCTGAAAATTCTTGTTCCTTCAATCAGAAGAATAATGGTGATGAACCAGAAATCAGTCTTGTCCAAAGTGATGGCGAATCCACCAAGAAGAACAACTGTTGCCCAGATGAATCCGAGAGTTCCCAACCCAGTTGCTGCCTTTTCAAGAATTGCAAGCCGGAGAGCAAACAATGTCAGCTTCTTCTCTGGTGCTGGTGCTGTCTGAGAAGTAGAATTTGCACCGCTACTGTCTGTCATCCCAAGGCTTCTTCGCGGTTCGAAAATGGTGTTTCTTGAGTCACAAGTGTCACTGACTTGTATACAGATGCTTCCATCTTCTGCTGAGCTCCTAGAAGCCATTAAAGGAGCTCCAAAAATCGGGTGAAAGAGCTTCAAAAGTGGCTGCAAGAAAGCTGGTTATGGAGGTTTGAGAAGTTGGATGGGAAAGAAAGAATGAAGTGGAGTTGATTATAAACCAAGAGGGAAATTATTAAGCTTATAAGACACGCTTATTTTGTGGAAATGAAGAGGAAAGAGAAACGTTAAGTCATGTTTCTTGTCTTGGCAAGGTCCATCCTGGATTGTTTCTGGCTGGGCTTTTATGCTTTTTAATCTTTATCTTGACGGCCAAGCACTTTTTCTTCAAAAAGCTTTCGGCTTTCTACCAAGTTCTTTGATGGGTAAATAATCAAACATCCAAATTTTTTGTCTTTATTTTCTTTTTCTTGAAATAAGCTGTTTTTTTTTTTTTTTTTTTCCTTTTATGAAATAAATAGTAAAAGGGTATCTGAAATAGTCCTAGGATTATTTGCTGCTTCAACCGTAATCTGGGTTTTGAAGGATACAATATATATAATATGTTTTATTATTTTTTATCAAATTGATTATAACTTATCATTCAATATAATTTCAGTCATTGTATCAGCTTCACTTTTGTTGTTATCTCAAAGCATCTCCATGCATGAATACTCAGTGCTGCATGATAAAAATTTCACATTGATCAAATATAAAAATCTAGAATGACATGAATTGTTTTATTTATTACCAAATATTTTTAAGGTTAAAAAATTTAACACAATTATATGATTAAACCCAGAAAAAAAAAAAAAAAAAAAAAGTAGTCAAAATACCCAATTGCATTGACCATTTAAAAGAAAAAGAGAGAGTGTCGGATGCTTGAATGTCGTCGTAGACATTACCCTCAAGATTTAATTGTTGCAGTGCCATCTCAACATGCAATTACTTCTTTTATTATTTATTTTGATCTTCCCAGTTCATGAGACTAAGTTGGAATTAATTATTATTAATCCGAAATTCTATTTACCGACAAGATTTGATCCAACCCACCTGCCAGATTAATTAATATGTCATCAATGGCCAACTTATCAAGTTGATTAAATCATTTACTTCATTCATCTACCAACCTGTCTGAAATTCTACAACCATTTGTATTAATTTCTTTATTCTAATCTGTAATGAGTTGTTTCATTCAAGGATCACTAATTAGATTATTTAAGGGCAAATAAGAGATTAAATCATTTAGTTCACTCTTTTCTTTTCTCTTGGCTTCCTTGTGAACCATTATAAATTAATTAAATTATTAATACAATTATCAGCCGAATACTTAATACTTTTATAGTTGTTGATATTCTTATTATTAGTATGTATGTCAGTATTAAAATACATAAATTTGTATTTAAAAAGTTATTATTGTTATTATTAGAAAAAAAAAAAAAAAAAAAAAAGTGTTTAAATTAGTGTTTATGATTGGCAGTTTATAGCTTGTTGGAATGGGTTAGGGGTTGTGTAAAGTAAAAGGCTGGTGGTGGGGACACAGATACCTGTTTTTTTTTTCTTTATAATCTGAAAATCCCATGAATCTTTCTTTATTCAACCGGGAAAACAGAAAAGAATAATTGATTAGTCTGTTTATAAACACCTGGAGGCTGTATGGGGATGAGGATGTACGTACTGTTCTTAGCGTGTTGTCAAATTTATGCTCATCATTTGTAATGTACTGAGTTTCTTAGCGTCTTTGTTGAACTTGCGTGGTGTAACATGATGTATTTTCACTCATATATATATATATATATATATGTATGATAATAATGTAGATATGCCATGTTTGACCATTGTAGAGATTTTCCCAGTTAATAAATGCATAGAAAATATACGGACAGACACATGCACACCAGTCATCATACACTACATGAGTGGGCCCAATTACATGCTTGCATGGATGGATAATTGAATATAAATTTTATATGAATCATTTTATGATATTCCACTCTTATAATATGTTAGATCCAATGATATTCAAAGTAGATTTTCCTAATAGAACTAATAAAGGATAGGAAAACAGCAGGAAGAATAGAAGCATGAGAGAGGACGTATGCTCAATGAATTTAGTTACAAACAAATATAGAGCCTAGTGAAACTAGCCACTCCATGATATACAAATATAACAATGAAGAACTGAAATTTTTCATCTTCTTTTAACTACATCAAGAGGGGCAACAATGGAAGGAATGGAGAGTCAAAGAGTACAGATCTTCTTTTATTGCTCAAGTGAAAAAATTTGAACAGATGATCTCACAGACAATTATATATTTATCTTCTTAAGAAGGAGGATTCTGTAGAGCCTGATCTTGAAGCAATCGCGATGGGAAACCATTTGTGTCAGAGTGCCATGTGGTTAGTAGTAAAGAACAAGGTTCACAAATTGTAACTCAGTCAACATTCCTGCTTTTAATCCCACCTGCTATAAGACAAAATAACAGTAAAGACATCTGCATCATCAACACATATGAATGCCTATAATTCCTGTTTGACTGATATTCATTACGGAAGGCTGATAGAGGAAGTAGAGATTGATGATTGATATGAAGAGTACGACCAACAGGATCATGGGTCGATCAAAACCAAGCACAAACAATGTGCAACAAAATGCTTCATATGACTGTAGTCCATATGACTACAACAGTTTCTGGTAAGAAAAGAGAAAAAATCATATATTAAGAGCAAAAGCAGATGCAAGGCAGGAGCTAAGATATCATCATAAGACAAAAGAAATCAAGCACAAACAAGAAAGAAAATATGGCAGAAATCACTCAAAAGCAGCCTCCCAGTTCCTTTGTGAATTAGGCATAGATTTATTCTGATTCCCAAAGAATCCACGTGATAAAGTTGCAAAGACAAAATGTAAGATAAATTGTATCTTAAGGCCTCATACTACTAGAACCCTAAGCATCATCCAAACAGACTGCGACTCTGCAGGTAGCAGAAAGTGAGGTGTCTGTTTCAGGGATTTGCCACTTTTCTGATTTTAAGAGGAACTAGACCATGAATCCATGCCTTCAACCTCTACACAAACTTAGAGGTGTAGTTTAAACTTCAATCTAATCAACCAAATTTTACACTTCCTAATATACATGATGACTTTGAGCAACCTGGTAAGAAATTCCCCTCTTAACTAACATAAATCAAATTTCTTTACAACCAGTAAACCTTTCAAATACCACTTTACAATGCCACCACACCTGATAGCACTATTATAGTCTGTCCCTATCCATGTAGAGAAGTTGATATCTGCTTTACTACAATAAACAGTGAAGTCCACCCCAATCATGCTAGCAAAGGGTAATCCCTTTTATACGGAATTATTGCTACACGGATAAACTAAAAGTTCAAGGTACTACATGCAAGAGCATGATACCTCCAAACCATAAATATTGGTTGAATGACAATTTAGTCTGTAGTCCAGATTGTAGTTGAGAGTGACTCCAGCATGGCTGTTTCTAGGGTATTGAAGGACCGTGCCTCTTGTGTATTGAATTCAAATGCAAATGAATAAGCAATTAGTGAGATGGATTAGTAGGATAAGCATTGTGCACATTAATAGGGAAGATAACACATTGATGAATTCTTTGGCAAAATGGGTGTTGGAAGGACAAGTGATGTGGTAACCTGGCTCTGCATTTTTTTTTCTCTTAGCAGTCAGTGGCAGATGTTTTAAGCTTCTCAGAGTGTTGCAGAAAAGGAGGCCCTGGTTTGAGCTCTTTCTTCTGCAGTTGCTTATTAAGTCTCAGCTACTAGAAATGTAAAGGGTTGGCTTGATGGTACTTCAGTCACTAGGGATCTCGTGGGATGCACCTGCAGGTGCAAATTTATGGAAGCTTTGTCAGATTTCATCTCTACTGAGAGTGTTTGAGATCCTTGTAAGATTAAAATTCCATTCCCTACATGAAAATATTTCCAATTTTCATTTTCTATATTCATGTCTGTTTATACAAGCTTTTATCCACGCGTAAGTAAAAGTTGCATATTTGTGGAATAACCAAAATACAAATAAAATAATTTTCTAGACATCCCCATCCTTTTCACTTGATTGTTAACTAATAAATGTTTTGTTAATGAAACCTATGTAATTTAAAAAATAAAAACTAGAAAAAGACTTCATGTAGTAAACAGAACCCAAGTTTTTCTTTCTTCCGGTGCTGATTTGTTTGTGGTTACCTACTGTTACCTAGTTGTGCTATAGGTCAATGCGTTTATTTTGTTTCTGGTCTTTTCTACAGTCAATTTGCTGTGTAAACTACTATCCCAGTGGCTCTTCTTTCCATAACAAAACGTATACCTTTAATTTTCACAAAAAAAGGCTGTAGTCAGATTCTACTTGCAGTAACAGTCTGTTTGGTTCATTTCCTATCAATTTCTAATCATATTTTCATATCACTCTTGATGTGCATAAGTAGGACATGATTTATCATGTACATTTAAGCTCAAATGATTAAATTCCAAGCTTTCAAGGTGGTGTTGAATTTCCATCCCAAAACAATTGAAGGGCTAATACAAAACTAGAACTAGCAATTGAATAGAGAATGAACCAAACTCTGGTATCCAATTATGAAAAAATGCGTGTTTTGTGGACTTACCATAAATAAACAGATGATTTATTGATATACGTTACTGGCATAAAATCAAATAAGCAGGATTTGCAACGGAAACCATGAATCCTAAGATTATAAAAACTCAGAAACCAAGCCTCCATGAGATCAAATGACTGCATTTCTTTGCCGAACCTTGGCCTTTTCAGCATTGATAATCGACTCAACCAACTTAACCGCATCATCAAGCCTCCCCTGCGCATTCACCACCACATAATCAAAACTCGTAACATGCTTAACCTCTTCCCTCGCAGTGGCAATCCTCACAAGCAGCTCTTCTTTGCTCTCCGTCCTCCTGTCAATCAGTCTCTCCACCATAGCCAACTCACTTTCTGCCACTAAGAATACAAACACTGCCGAGTTCCCAAGGATCCTCTTCAGCGTTTTCGCCCCCTGTATATCCACTCTCAGAACTATATCATAGCCTTTCGCCATGTAATCCCTAATCTGCTTCTTGGGTACTCCTTTATAATCACCATACACAAGTGCATACTCCAAAAGCTCATCTTTTTCAATCATGGACAAGAACTCCTCTTTCGACACAAAGAAATAGTCCTTACCATCAACCTCACCGGGCCGCATTGGGCGGCTTGTAGCTGTGACTACAAAATGCAGGCCTTGACGCATTTCTCTCAGCTTCCTGATAACTGCATCTTTGCCAACACCGCTCGGGCCGCTGATTACGATGATTAATGGATTTGGAGATGGGCAAACTGGGTCTGCGCGAAAGCAGGAACCTAGTTGGGATTCGAGGGCACGAAGCAATTCAAGCTTGTTCTTGGGGAGGGAATGAGAGTTTGGGGGGGTTTGGGAGTTGTCGATATCGCTCATTTTGAGGGATGATGAGACGAGGCGTAGGGTTTGGCGGAGAAATTGGGGTTTTGGGGATGTGGGGAAGATGAGTCTGTGGAAATGGGGAGAGTGGCGAAGCGAGTGAGAGAGGACAGTCGCCGGGACATGAGGGACGGCGGTCTATGCGGCAAGCCAGGAATGATGCGTGAATTGGGATTATGAGATCGGAAATTTAGGGTTTTAGGATGTAATTGGGAGGGAGATGAGATTTGCTCCCCTTTCTGTTGGTTTGGCCATGTTCTCATATATTATATTAATATTTTATGTTTCACACTTTTTAAATTCATTTTTAAGATTAAATATCTAAAATAACTAATTTTTAAAGCATCTATTTATTGAGAATCAAACGAAACTAACTTAGATCAGAACCAAAAATTATAGACATTATGAATCAAAAATCAAATCGATTTATATTTCAGTCTATACCTTATCAAACTAGTGCAATACAGTTTTATTCGATTAAAAATTAAAATGAATAAAAATAACTAGCATAAGAAAATTTTTTCTTCTTTTCTCTTTTCTTTTTTGGTGCAATCACATGTTATTGTAAGAATTGACGAGTTTGGACAATCTCATATGTCTACAACTTCTTTTTTTTTTTTCTCTCATGCATTTCTCTTGCTAGTTTATGTCGCCTCTCTCATCTCTTTCTCTTTTTTCTCTTACTTCTTTATAGTCTTCGTCACCTTTTTTCTTTTTATCTTTCCTTCCACATCTCTCTTTGGCCTTTAGATGTTTTTATATTCTTTGAAGTAAGAAAAAAATCACATCAAATTAGGAGAATTGTAGGCATATAGCACGACAAGTACATAGTGAGCAAAATATCAAGTGCCACAAAATGTCAAGTGCCAGGAAGGATGGAAGGGTCTTTATCAATGCATGGCGAAGGAAGTGATGTTCTTGGTGTCATATAGGGGAGAAAGAGGCTGATATACGTTTTAGAACTAGGTATTTATGCTCACCTTTTACATGTAGTTGTCTATATTGTATATCTATCTTTATATATATGTGTACAAATATACATTATGTTACGTTAACTAGTACAAATGAGATTGAAATTGATTAATTATTTTGATTTTGACATTTATACATTGAATATTAGACTAAAATCTATTTGATCCAATTAAATTTAGACTGAATAACTCAATTTAATTCAATATTTATACAGAACCAAAAAATAAATATCCCTACTTATTTTCCTCTCTTACCTTTTAGACAAGTTTGACCAATTTTATTTATTTTTTATTCTAGATATATAATTTTTCTTTCCAATTGTTTTCTTTCTTGTAAAATAAAAATAATAGTTTATCATTTATTCTCAAGAAAAATTATCTTTCTTATATTTATATTTATTTTTAAAACTTTTTTTTTTTTATAAAATCATAATATTATGTTTTATTATTATATAAGTAATAAACTAAATCATTTTTATCATTTAAGACTTTTAAAATTAATAATTTATATATAATTATTAAAGTGAAGGATTTAATGTTGAACTAATTTTTTATTTATATTAATTCTTTTAGTAGATAGAGTCCATCTATATTAATTAGAGCATAATGATAAACAAATAAAGAATTAAAATCTTACATATTATTTAAAATTACCAACAAAATTAGCCAATAGTATACTCAATTGTTAAGTTATGTATCTTTTAACTTATTCTATAATTTTTAACATTATAAAAAATGGTCCATATTGATATATAAACCAAGCAAAAGATTGAGTTAAAAATTCATAACATTGAAATAAATTACCTACAAAATCTTAAAGTTTTGCTGAAATGAGTAATCTTTTTTCCTACACAAATATTTTATGTTAGGTTATAAAAATAAATTAGAGTTATGCAATCCATTTAAATATTAACTTGAATTTTGTAATTTTATTTTATTTTTTATAAGTTATTAAAGTAACGGCACCGGAAATTAAAAAGAAATGTATATATTTATTCTAAGTGTGGAAGCGAAATAAAATAGATTATGATTAACATCCCTTACACAATAACCAAAACGAATTAAACGTATGAAAAAATAAACTAAATTAAAGGAAATACTATGAATGAATGCTATAAGGAAAACTAATAAATTCTTTGGCTTCTACTCGCCGTCTTCCTGCAAAACGGGCTCGAGAACAAAGACCTCCTGGTCTAAAATGATTAAGTAAGGAATGAGTTACACTAGCTCAGTAAAGATATCACACTATCTCACTGTCACAGAAGTAAATGTTGGTGGAAAACAAAAACGACCAATGGAGCATAATTTATAACAAACTCATTTATCAATAATAAAAATTTTTACTGTCCACTTACCTCCGTGAGATTCATAAAAACAACTTATAAGAAACAATAACATCATAAATATCATAAATTCATACATAATCTGTATCATAGTACATGTCATACTTTTGTATTTCAATCATCAGGCAACAAATTTCCTCTCTTATTAGCCTACTAGTATCCATGGGGATCCATAGGGGGTCTCCGCTACACGTGAACCATTCCACATTAATAACTTAATGTCAGGGCTGTCCCCATACCCCGTCCGGTATGTGCGCCAAAATCATAAACTTCAATACCCCGTCCGGTATGAGGGTGAAACAGGTTGTCCCCATACCCCGTCCGGTATGGGTGCCAAAACATATAAAGTCTCTATACCCCGTCCGATATGAGAGACCACATTCCCGGTAGGGTTCCCTATGGACCCGGCCCGTCCATCATCTCCCAGGATATCTAGTTAGGCTGTTGACATTATCTATTTATTAATTCACAAACCTTTTTTCATTTTTCTTAATCACAATTATCCAATCAAACATAAACAAGTAAACCAGTAATGGACACCAAACAAGGCAACACAACATCGAGTTCACAATGATTCAAACCATAATAAATGAAACCATGATTCATGCATACGAAACCATATAATAAATACATCAGGCACCATACTACATTCAAAACTGTAAAATAAATCAAACAAGAACAGACCGACAAATACATCAGGTTCGAGCCTCATTAGCGATCTTAATTAATTATACATATCTATTAATTCATAAAATACTGTTTAATCATTTATTAAACTTTAATGCCGTGATAGGAAATAGGGTGAGGGATCCTTACTTGTTTCGGAGACTGAAATCGGGTTCTCACTGCGCCTATGGGCAGTCCCTAGATTCCCTGAATTTTTTTTCGGAAACTGAAACACACTTCCGGTACCTGCACATGTCCCCAAAAAATCCCAAATCAGACCCAGGGCCCTTTCGATCAATTTCGAAATTCTGGCACGGCGGCTCCACCGTGTGCCGGTGACGGCGCCGCCGCCCACGGCAGCGATCTGCCTCGGGTTGGCCGTTTCTGGCCATTTTCGACTGAATTCGGCCAAACTTGCATTGGTTCTTGTGATAAAACACCCCTAGGGCTCTCGATGGGCTAAAAAATTTTAGAAAACCGAGACTTATCGGTGGCGAAGCTCTCGGGTGCGGCGGCTCCTCCGGCGCGAGTTGTGATTCGGTGTTTTGCTCCAATCAACATGTAGAGAAAAGGACGGTGGTCACAGTAGTATAAAAATTACATCGAACGGGAAACGGGAAGGGCCTCATCGGAGGTAAAAATTGAGGAAACCTGCGGCGGCATTGCTGGACTTCGGTGGTGTTTTTCGGCCAATCGGCTGGTGGTTTGGCTCCAATTTAGCCACAGTGAGGTTCGGCATCGAAAAACAAGCCAAAGGGAGAAATTTTACCTTGTTTGGCGGCCGGAAAGTCCTCCGGTGCGGCGGCGGGTGGCGGCGGCCAGTTCCTCCGGTGGCTGGGTCGTCTTCTCCGGCGAGGGTTCTGGCGGTTAGGGTTTGGGGTTGGGTGTGGATGCGATTATTTATAACCCTCCCCATTTAATCTGAGCCGTCCATCATAATTTAATCTGGGCCGTCAAATCGCGATTAAATTAGAAATAAATTTGGACCATCCATCATGATGCGATCTAGACAGTCCGTGCGTGATCAAATCTGGACCGTCTGCACGCGTGAGATCTGGGCCGTCCACGCGCGCCTTTGATCTGGGCCGTCTGTGAGCTCGGGAACGGATCTGGGCCGTCCGATCGCGCGCACGCGGATCATCCATGTGTCTCCGTCCCGCGTGGCTTCCCGCGTCAGCGTCCCTGCCACACGGCGTGTCCTGGTTGGTCGGGGCTGCTGATCGGGCTGCTTCCGTGACTGCTGATGTGGCGCTATTTTTCTAAATTGCGTTTGACCCCCGATTTTCGATTTTCTTTTCAAAAATACCCACAGAATCCAAATTTTCACCCATTTTTCCCAAAATTAATTTCAATTAAATCCCAAAAATAATTTTATCCTATTTTATTATTATTTTTTTATTTCTATTAAATTAAATTAAATTAAATTAAATTAAAACGTTATAAATTAAATATTAAAATAGAATAAAATTAAAAAAAATTCCAATAAAAATTAAAATAAATTAAATAATAAAAATAAAATAAAATACAAATTTTGGGTGTTACAACTCTCCCTCCCTTAAAGAACTTTGGTTCCCCAAATTTGTCTCTTACTCTTGGTCGAACAAATGAGGATACTGGGCTCTAAAATCTGATTCTAGCTCCCAAGTAGCCTCCCTTGGGCGAGTGGGTTCTGCCACACTACCTTTACAAATGATATTTTTCTGGTTGCGGAGTATTCTGTTCTTTCGGTCCGTGATACCAACTGGGACTTCCTCATAAGATAAGTCCTCTTGGAGTGAGAGCGGTTCATGAGCCAAGACATGAGAGGGGTTCTGGTTGTACTTACGTAGTATGGATACATGGAACACATTGTGGACCTTGGCAACGTTAGTCTGTAGACGGCAGTACCAATTCTGTCTAAGACTTCATATGATCCAATAAATCGGGAGTTCAGTTTTTCCTTCCTGTCGAACCTACTAATTCCTTTGAAAGGAGTGACCTTAAGGAACACCCGGTCGCCTAGTTCAAACGCTAAATCTCTCCTCCGGGTGTCCGCATAACTCTTCTGCCTGCTCTGAGCCGTCTGAATGTTCTTTCTGATTTTAACTATTTTAGACGTGGTCTCCTCCACCAACTCCGGGCCGAACAATTTTCTGTCGCCCACTTCTTCTCAACAAATCGGCGATCTGCATGGGTATCCATATAACGCCTCATACAGAGCCATGTCAATGCTCGATTGGTAGCTGTTGTTGTAGGCAAATTCTATCAGGGGTAGATGGTCATCCC